TGCATGGGCACTCCCCCTTCTAGCCTCCTGACTCAATTTTAAATGGGTTCCTTTTCTTAATTTCCACAACAGATTTCCTTTTTTAAAGACAAGTAAGGCACTTCTCAAAATCAGAGTTTTGTGCTTAGTAGTTGTGAAAATGGAATTGGAATTACCATTAAATAACTAATCCTAGAGCTGCCTGAAGGTCTTATTAATTCCTGACCACTTAGATGTCCCCCAACACTAGCCACAATGAAAATAACAGCCTCCTTTCTCTGTTTTTTCAGTAGTGTTTGATTACAGAAACTTCTTTCCACACAAGTTAACATGCCTTCTTTCTCATCTTGGGGAAAACATTATGATTGTTCCTGGGTTTGGCTTTTAGATATCAGAGATATAAAGCATAGACAAAAATGTTACTCATTTTATCAGCACTAGTTTTAATTCAAAGGGTACAAGAGACTGTGGGATGTGAAGAGATGAATAAGGTGCCCTGTCTTCAAGATGCTGAGTGTGCATTCCTTCTCTAGTTCAGACAACTCTAACTCAAATTGACTTGAAGCCGGCTTTTCAGTTTCAGAAATGAATGTCGGGAGAGTCTTTGACTTTTCTTTTTTGAAATAAATTCTGACCATGTTGTACTCTGTCAAAGGAGAATCCCTGGTATGGATACATTGCTTTCTGAAGGCATCATTTTTACCTGGAAGTCAAAATAAAAGTATTTTCTTCAGAATTTATTGGTTATCTTTCCTTAAAGTCTATTTACTAATAGGTTGCATTGGGACTCTGAAGAGCCACTTTAAAATCTTTTAAAATATCTCATTTTTCCCATTCATTTAAAAAGTGTAAAATGTTTATGTATGTAAGAATATTATATATAAATATCTAAGTATATATGCACATATATATACATAATACATTGACATACAGTAATAGAAGTAATTTCTGGATATTTGATAAGATGATGGGTTACTTTCTCATGTTTATCTGTTATCCAGATTTTATACAATGAACACATATTACATTTACATTTATAACCAGTAAAAAAAATATATGGTGCTCAAACCTCTAAAAACATGAAGTTATATCTAAGGTGTAGGATTCTGTGGCTGAGAATAGCTGTTATTAACTGAGTACACAGATGAAAGTCTTTGTGATCGAATCTCTCTTTTTCATTGATCTAATCAACATAAAACATTCGTTTCAGGTGTATAACATAATGATTCGATATACGTATCTATTGTGAAATGATTACCACAATAAGTCGTTAACCTCCATCACATGTAATTTTTTTCTTGATGAGAACTTTAAAATCTGCTTTGTTAGCAACTTTCAAATATGCCATACAGTATTATTAACTGTAGTTGCTATGCTGTACATTACATCCCCAGGACCCATTTATTTTATAACTCGAAACTTGTACCTTTTGAACACCTCCACCATTTTACCCGTCTCCTACCCCGACCTCTGGCAACCACCAATCTGTTGTCTGGTATCTGAGTTTTCGTTTTGTTTTGTTTTGTTTTAACTTGGATTCCATATATAAGTGAGATCATATTTGTCTTTTTCTCTGTCTCTGAAATAAATTGCCTTTATTTCACTTAGCATAATGCCCTCAAGGTCCGTGTTGTTGCAAATGGCAAGATTTCATTCTTTTGACTGCTATTAGTCAAATATGTACCACATTTTCTTTATCCATTCATCCCTTGCTTAGATTGTTTCCATGTCTTGGCTATTGTAAATAATGCTGCAATGAACATGGGGATACAGATATCTTTTCAAATTAGTGTTTTTCTTTCCTTCAGATACCCAGAAGTAGAATTACTGGATCATATACTAGTCCTATTTTTAATTTTTTGAGGAGCCTCCATACTATTTTCCATAGTGGCTGCACCAGTTTACATTCCCACCAACAGTACACAAGGGTTCCCTTTTCTCCACATCCTTGCCAACACTTGTTATTTCTTGTCTTTTTGATAACAGCCATTCTAACAGGTGTGAGGTGATAACTCATGGTTTTGGTCTGCATTTCCCAGGTGATTAGTGATGTTGAGCACCTTTTCATGTACCTGTCGGCCATCTGCATGTCGTCTTTGGAGAAACGTCTATTCAGATCCTCTACCCATTTTTTAAACAGATTGTTTCTATTTTAGCTATTGAGTTGTGTGAGTTCTTTCTATATTTTTGAGATTAACCCCTTATCAGATATATGATTTGCAAATATTTTCTCCATTCAGTAGGTTGCCTTTTCATTTTTGTTGATGGGTTCTTTGGCTGTGCAGAAGCTTTTTAGTTTGATGTAGTCCCACTTGTTTATAATAGTTGTTAGTGTATGCAACAGATTTTGCTATACTGATTTTGTATCCTGCAACTTTACTCAATTCGTTTATTCTAACAGTCTTTTGGGGGAATCTTTAGGGTTTTCTATAGATAATATCATGTCATCTGTGAACAGTGAGTTTTACTTCCTCCTTTCTAATTTGGATGCCTCTTCTGTTTCCTGCCTAACTGCTCCAGCCAGGACTTCCAATACAATGTTGAATAAAAGTGGTGAGAGTGGGCATCTTTGCCTAGTTCGTTCCTGATTTTTAAAGAAAAAGCTTTTGGCCTTTCACTGTTGAATATGATGTTAGCTGTGGGTTGATCCAATTTCTTAATGTTTACAGTAAATATTAATTTACATTGGAACTTGATTGTTGGGGGGGGGGTCAGTGGCCATGAAAACATTCATAGGACACAAAGAAGAAGCAAGGTTACAGCAAGTATAAAAATTTAAAGATCAACAGAGAAGAGAGAAACAATAGTGTTAGTAATTACTTTATAATTATTATGAAAAGAATTATCAGCATATAATTTTTATTTTAATAACTGTTATTAAAGGAAATTCAAACAAATAAAGAGTAAAAAACCTCAGGCTCATCACTCAGTTTCAGCTCTCATCTAGTCATAGTCAATATTGTCATTTCCAGCCTGCTCCTGACTCCCCCAACTGTTCCTGGATTATTTTGAAGCAAATCTCAGATATCATATGGTTTTAACTGTAAATATTTCAGTATGTATTTCTAGATATTAGGGACTCTTTATTTAAATTATAACTATAATGCCATTATCCTACCTTAACAATACATTCCTAGCATCATCAGATTTCCACAGTCATGGATCATTTCCCAATTGTCATATATTTTATCTATTTTTAACATTTATATTTATATATACATTATACATAAACATTTATTCATTTATGCATTATAAATATATGAATTATTATTTGTTTGAATCAGGATCCAAGTAAAGTCCATACATTGTGATTGGTTCACAGGTCCTTACATCTCTTAATCCATAGTTTTCTGTGTCTTCTTTTTTTTTCCTTGTAATTTTTTGCTTGAAGAAACTGGGTCACTTATTCAGTAGGATTTCCAGTCTGAATTTTGCTAACTGCATTACGCTGGTGTAGTTTATGTGACTGTCTGTTCCCTGTGTTTCTTATAAACTGGTAGATCCAGAAGCTTAAGTGGTTCGTTTGATTTTTTTGGTTTTTTTTGTTGTTGTTGTTGTTTTTTAGCAAAACTGTGTCACAGGTGGTATGTGACCAAATATTACTTTAAAGCTAATATGTGAAATGGTTTGGGCCTTGATTTCTAAGACATCCAGGAGGTATATAGAAGGACTCTGGTCATAACATATTATGAGGCAAACAATTAGTGACTTGCCTTTTCTAGAATAATATACTAGTTAAAATTATCTCCAAAAATCTTCTGCATGGATCCAAATGCATAAGGGGAATTAAAACATATTCTATAGGGCCAGCCCTGGTGGCCTAGTGGTTAAGTTTGGTGTGTTCTGCTTCAGCGGCCCAGGTTCAGTTCCCAGGTGCAGACCTACACCACTCGCCTGTCAGTGGCCATGCTGTGGCCGTGACCCACAAACAAAAAGAGGAAGATTGGCAGCAGATGCTAGCTTGGGACAAATCTTCCTCGGGGGGGGTAAAAAAAGAAAGAAAGAAAAATATTCTGTAGGTCCAGAAGTCTCATGGAATTGGCCTTTGGCTTTTCATGATTGCAATGGCCACTGCAAGCTACATATTATACTTTATAGACCCATGCTGCCTAGTACAGTAGCTTCTGGCTATTTAACTTTAAACTACTTAAGGTAAATTTTTCAAATTTAGTTGCTTATTCACACTAGCCACAGGTAGCTAGTGGCTATCATACTGGCCAGCACTGATATAGAATATTTCCATCATCACAAAAAATTTTATTGGACAGTCCTATTTTAGACTCTAGAGAAATCAGGGAGAAGTAGACAAACTGAATGAAATTTTCTTGGCATTCAAGAAGATTTTTAGATGTTTGATAACGAGTTTTCTGTAAATCTTATCGTTTGGATTTCTGTAGTGCTGCCTCTAAACTTGAATGTTACAGGACCATTGTTTTGTTGGTGGAAAACATGAGAAGTCTGTTTTTGGACAAGTTTGTTACAGACAGTCTTAACGTCTCCCTTGTTTTATGTTGTATTTCAGCTTGCTAAGAAACATATCTAGACTCTGTCACATCCAGAGAGCATACAATCCGTGACACATAAACTCAGATAAGCTCCTGCAGTGAAAGAAGGCGCTGATCGTCGCCAGGGTGAAGTGGTTAGAAACAAACACATGAAAAGATATCTCTCAAGTTTCTCTTTTACAGCATTTTTATGAAATGATTCACAGAGTGAAGTTTTATAGCACAAAAAGCAAGTCAGCAGAGAGAGCCAAAATTTTTGATTCTCATAGACATAGTGTTACACTGGAAGTAAATTTTATAGCTGGTTGAGTCAGTTCCATAAATTCTAAAGGTGTTCTGGAGAAATAGCCTTTTCCAAAGGATACCTTTTATCAGCTCTGTTACCTGTAGATATTTACATAATGGCTCACCCACCTACCATCCTGTTGAAGAAATAGTGTATCATTTGACTTTTGTCTTAATTCGGCCTAAAAATACTGTACTTGAAGTAATTGACCTTTGCTTAATTTTTTACAGCGGAAGTTCAGAGTGAAATTGAAAGGATTTTTGAACTTGCAAGAACGTTGCAACTGGTAGTCCTTGATGCAGATACTATTAATCATCCAGCTCAACTTAGTAAAACCTCTTTGGCCCCTATTATAGTGTACGTAAAGATTTCTTCTCCTAAGGTAAGTAGAGTTGCTATTGGCTGCTGTGTAATCAAAGTTTACTAAAATGTGCATTTATTTTCTGTTTTCTAGTTACAACAGGCTATGTCTTTATCCATCATAAAGAGTTTGAAGAGACATTAGTTAAGAATTTTTACGACTGATATAAAGCAAAGTATGATTATTAGTTTAACGACTTAGAATAGTGATTCTCAAAGTGTAGTCGATGGATCTCTAGGCAGGGGGTCGGGGGGGGGGGGGGCTCCAAGACACTTTCAGAGGGTCCATGGGGTCAAAACTATTTCTGTAATAATGCCAAACATTATTCACCTTTTTCACTGTTTTGACCTTTGCACTGATGGTGGGCAGAACTGCTAATATCTAAGCATGAATCAAGACTGTGGCACCAGACAGGATGAGCAGTCACTGTATTCTTCCCACTGTGCACGTGCAGTTAAAAAAAAAAAAAAAAGAACCCAAACCCAGTTTCACTTAATTTTATTAAATTTTGACTCTAAGTATAAGCCTTTACTATTCGGAGTAATGAAACAGGAAATACACTTCAGCTGTATATCAAAGTCAGTCAGTTATCTTGAGGACAAGCACTGGTGTGATTATTTGAGCTGTGAATTGAACTACCCACTTTTTTCACGGAGCACCGTTTTTATTTGAAAGAACAACTGACAGGCTATGCTTGTTTAGACTTGGGTATTTGGCAGATATTTTCTTGAACAAAGGGGGTCTGTCACTTCAAGGCAAACAACAGCCTTTGTTACCCATGATAAAACCCAAGCTTTCAAACAAAAATTAGGATTTTGGAAAACTTGTATCCACCTCTGAAAGCCTGGTAGCTTCCCACCAGATAAAGACTTTTCTAATGAGATCAATGATAATAACAAATATGATGTTTTAATATTGTACAATGCAACGTGTCAACATTTGGAAGACCCAAGAATTGAGTGTACCTTTATTTTCCAAATGATCAGTGAATGATGTTACAGATCATGCCTGGTAAGAGATCCATTCAAATTTCAAGATAGACCAATGGAATTTAATGTAACAGAGTAAGAAAAATGCATTGATATAGTTTCAGATTTCACAGGGCAACTAGTCTTTAAGAAACTACCATTAGTTGAGTTTAGCATAGTATCAAAGAAGAATGTCTGCAATTATCTGAAAGGGCTACTGAAATACTCCTTTCCTCAACTACATATTTGTAGAAGACCGGATTTCCTTCATATTTCAATGAAAACCATACATTGTAGCAGATTACACGCATAAGCAGACAGGAGACTGCAGTCGTCTTCAATAATCTCTCAGTTATCTGGGAGATTTGCAAAAACTGTAGCTATTTTTATAAAAATAAGTAATTTACGTTAACATGTAATAGGGTTATTGTTAATTTTTAAACGAAAATTCTTTTGATGTCTAATATGGTAAATATTAGATATAGTTCACATAAACAAAAGCTTTTTGGGTGTCTCAACAGCTTTTTAAAATAAAGTTGGCCATGAGACAAAGTTTGATATCCGCTAGCCTTGATGCTGTTTTCTCTTTTTTAGAGCGTGCAACTGGGATTTATCTTAACATGTTAATTTTGCAGATAATCTTACACATTATATTTTATAGCTCAATCTATTACAAGCCATTTATGCTGTATATGAAAAGGCCCCAGAGAAAGGAGTGAATAACGAACCTTGTCGTTTACCTGAGTGCAGATATTCTTCTGTTAAAAAATCTTATCTTTTACAGGTTTTACAAAGGTTAATAAAATCTCGAGGGAAATCTCAAGCTAAACACCTCAATGTCCAAATGGTGGCAGCTGATAAACTGGCCCAGTGTCCTCCAGTAAGTTAGCTCTATGTACGGTACAATCCAGCTGAAGAGATCAGAGCTGGCATTATAGTAAAGAAACAAAAAGCAGACACTTAAATGCTTGTTGGGGGAGACAGTCCTTGCCACTTAGCAGTGGTCTTCATTCCAAAGAAGTGACTGTCCTGCCTCCTGCCACAAGCACTTGTCCAGGTCACAACCATGGCTTACAAAAAGCCACGGCAAGTTCTGTGGCGACTTTGCTTTGGTAACTAACATCTAATTAGTATCTTAAATGACATAAGTTTGTGGTTTCAAAAACTTGGTTACAAGATGGATCTATTTGGGGTTGGTTTATTAATCATAGGGAGCAAGTTGCTGCCTCTTAATAATTATCTGAGAAATTGATTTGAGACCATGTAAAAAACAAATTTCTAGACATCAGTTACCTGGATTCTAACATCTGAATACATTCTACTTCTAATCCCTGCTTTACATACTATGCCTTGGGACTATAGATCACTTCTAGTTTTGGGTTTTTTTTAAGTGCGGGTATTTCAGAAGCTCTAAGAACTATGATTATATCCATTTTGATTGGTTGGAGCATGTTAAAATTTATAATAAACACTTTGAACTATTTTGAAGTTTGGACCATGTCAAATTATCAGTGGTTTCCACCACTTCTGCCAAATTTCGTGTCCTAATCTTACCTCGTTAATTTCCAAGATTAAACTCTTCAGTTTCTATGTCAAAAACAGGCTTATTCCTGTTACAGTTCAAATTATATTCTTTTCTTTTTTACATCTCTTGTCTACTCTAGTATCAATTCCTTTTTGCACTATTGACAGACAACTTTTCCATCATGCCCTTAACAACTAATATTCCACCTATTCACTTTCCGCTCACTCCTGTTGGTTATGCATCCAGTGTTCTAAACAAGGATTTGAGGCAGGTGGACAGTTAGCCACTGGGAAAGGAGGAAGCAGGAGCACCTAAGCAAGAGCAGATACGAAGTGGTGCAGCTCAGCAGCCCCTCCCCCGCCCTTGCTCCCTCCCCCCTCCTTTTATGAGGGTGGGGTGTGTGTGAACTTTGTCACAACTGGGCTGGTCTAACTGTGCCGTCTGAAATGTTTGCCTCTGCAGGAGTTGTTTGATGTGATCTTGGATGAGAACCAGCTCGAGGATGCCTGTGAGCACCTTGCCGACTATCTGGAGGCCTACTGGAAGGCCACCCACCCTCCCAGCAGCAGTCTCCCCAACCCTCTCCTTAGCCGCACGTTAGCCACTTCAACTCTGCCTGTTAGCCCCGCTCTAGCCTCTAATTCACAGGTAAGAGGAGCTCTTTACCGTCTTCCCTGAGAACTAGGCTGCCTGGGGTCATGTTGCCGGGATGCAAGCCCAGACATCCAGCAAGTGCTGGCTCCAGTAGAGCAGCTCTGTCCAAGCGGAGGCAAACGTTGAGTCAGTTGAACATCTTCAGTGTGAGTTGTGCACCTGTAAGAAAAGCAGTGTAAACAGCATATACGATGAATCTATATAAACTGGAAAAGTCCCCAACTACCTGCTCTTTCAGACAGGACTAGAACTTTCTCCACGTTCAGCAGCACAGACAGTGGAATCAGACCGCCTGGTTCAAGTCCTGGCCCCGCCTCTTACCGGGTGTAGAACCTTGGATAAGTTCCTTTCCTGCTCTTTGCTTTAGGTTGCCAGCATTATTGCCAACATTGCCAGCATTTCCTGAGGCAGCTCTCTCGGAGGGTGGCCGTATTCATGAGTTAATATATGTGACGGTTAGAACAGAGCCTGTCTCATAGTTGGTATTCTATCCTTTTTTGCCCCTGAATCCTTATCTTAAGCCAAACCCAGCATCCTACAGATGTCTAATCTTCCCACATGTATTCAAGCAGAGCTAGTTCAGTGTACATCCGCGTGCAGAAAAACCTCAAGGACCTGTATCTGTATTTGAACCACAAGAGAACATATAAAAGAATGCCCTCCCTCCTTCATTTATACATTTAAAAAAGAAAAAGGTTACTCTGTGCCCCATTCTAGGCACTTACAGATTAACATAAATTCCAATATAATAAAGTACAAACCTTATAAATGCCACTGGACATTATCAAAAAAAATTAGGGAACCAAGCTGGGTGAGATTTCATGGCAGCGTTTTCAATGCTTATAAGGGACTCGACTTGACTGGACTTGCTTTGTGACGTGCTAGTTCCTTACGCCGTGGCCCTGGCTGATGCCTGTGTTTGCTCCCTGCACCACCAGGGTTCTCAAGGCGATCAGAGGACTGACCGCTCTGCTCCTGCCCGTTCTGCTTCCCAAGCTGAAGAAGAACCCTGCCTGGAACCAGTCAAGAGATCCCAGCACCGTTCTTCCTCCTCAGCCCAGCACCACAACCATCGCAGTGGGACAAGTCGAGGCCTCTCCAGGCAAGAGACGTTTGACTCGGAAACCCAGGAGAGTCGAGACTCTGCCTACGTAGAGCCAAAGGAAGATTACTGCCACGAACACGTGGACCACTATGCCCCACACCGTGACCACAACCACAGAGATGAGCCCCACGGGAGCAGTGAGCATAGACACAGGGAGTCTCGGCACCGTGCCAGGGACTTGGATCGAGAGCAGGACCACAACGAGTGCAACAAACAGCGAAGCCGCCATAAATCCAAGGATCGCTATTGTGACAAGGATGGAGAAGGAATATCCAAAAAACGGAACGAGGCTGGGGAGTGGAATAGGGATGTTTACATCCGCCAATAACTTTGGCCCTTTTGTGTTTTTTTTTTTTTTTTTAAGTAAGTCTTGTATAACAGCACCCTCAAACTAAATCTTTGGGGGTCTACATTGCAATCATATGTGATCTGTCTTGTATATTTTGTACTGCTGTTGCTTGAATAGCAATAGCATGAAATAGAGTATTAATATACTTTTTTTTCTTTTGTAAGTGCTATATAAATTCGCCTGGTATGGCTGCAGTCCTCCGGTTGTATACTGGACTTTTTCAAAAACTGTTTGGGGTAGCTGCCACTTGAACAAAATCCGTTGCCATCCACGTGGCGTTAGTATTTTAAGAAATGTAGTTGTTTTCAAAAATGTAGTTGATGTATCCAGCAAGCCAGAATCAGCCCAGATAAGAAGTGGAATTTCTTGATTCTCCATATTTTAAATATGTAGGCACCTGATTTGCATATTCATTCATCCATGGACCACTGTTTCTTGCTTGTACCTCTGGCTGACTAAATTTGGGGACAGGTTCTGTCTTGCCTTACACAAAGGGGATCATAAAGTTAGAATCTATTTTCTATGTACTAGTACTGTGTACTGTATAGACAGTTTGTAAATGTTATTTCTGCAAACACCTTCTTATGATAATTATATATATAATATATATATATATCAGTTTGATCACACTATTTTAGAGTCTTAATGCCAAGTCAGCAGATTTGCTTTATGAATTACAGGGACTAGAAATGCCCACCTTCAGGAAATTTGTAATAACATCATCTAGACACCTATCCCCACTCTAGTAGAAAGTCTGTACATACTGTAAATACGTGTGATTGCTTGACTTGAAAAGGTTTGATTTCTGAATGTTTTACCATCCTTGTAAGTTTATAATTTTGACCATAAATTATGGTAAATATAACCAAACTCCAAAGGTTGTTCTAATCCATGCAGTTCACACTGATTGTGACAAACACATTCTTAGTAGCTAGTGTCTTACGTCACTGCACTGGAATATACGAGCCGGAACTCTGTGTGCGTGCGCGTCTGTGTGTAAGCGTGTGCGTGAGTGACTGGTTGAGATGAATCTGAATGCTGAAGACTTGTCAAGAAACTAGAGACTGATATCCAGAATTCTACCCACCTGGCTTTGTACTGAATCGTGCTACATGTTGCTTTAATGATTCGTTGAGCAGTCAGGGTGTGTGAAGAAACTTGCTGCCAAAGGTGACTACGAAAGCATTCATCTGCTGGCTCCCTGTTTTTGCTCCTAGAGAGTAAAAATACAGGCAACTTTTAACTGTGAGAGTTTCACTGGAAATGTACAATCTTTGTGTGTTCGAGTATTTGTTTTAGTAAGAAACGTTTACACAGCTTGTAGAATTGTTTCGTGGGAAAATAAATTTTTCTAACTTCTCCCACTTCCTTTTCTAAACTTGCCTATCGTTCCTGTTGTTTATCTCCCAGTTTACCTGTCATTCCATTCCGCCCCCCACCAACTCCAACAGTTTCACTGTCCATCAGAACCTAGAAGTGCTTCTTATAACCAAAGTTTCTGCTCTTCAGAAGAAATCAGGGCAAAATGGGGTGACTTGAAGTGAACAAGATGTTAAGAACATTTTCGTACATCAGACATCTACTGTGAAGGAGAACCCGGAAGATGATAGCTCCATGCCTCAATGATGCCGCTGAGAAAGCTCACAATGTGGTTATGACGCTAAGGCTCAAACCTTCTCCGTGTCTCTTAGGCGTACATTTTGTCCAGTCAAGACTGGACAGGTAAGACAGTCTTAGGTGTGCAAGTACCTAGCACTTGAAGTTTGTCCCTGGAAAATGCCTCTGTATAATTGCCTAACTTCAGATCTGTACATTATATGATTATTTTGTTACATAAATCTATTTTTTTGTTTTGCTTCTTTGATTATTCCAGGTTCTTGCCAAATATTCTTGGACCTTTATCAGTAAAACTGTTTCATATTTAACTCCTTCCTCCCCCTCTCCCCAAGAAAACTCAAAGAGTTTTAAAAATGAGTTACATATATAGTGTTTTGTCAGCTGATATAGGAAGTATTTCCCTCAGAATCCATCTATTTGTCAATTAGCTCTGTACTTTTGACATGTTTATTTATTGAATATAAAACCAGTAGTTAGAATATATACATTTTTGATGTCAAATATTCACATTGGGAAACCGTATTTCAATTAAAGTTACTTTTATAAAATATTTCCGATAAACTTTCCATCACGGTAAAATGCTGCCCCATCCTTTCCCACATGAAATTTCATCCCAATTAATGTCTCTGGCATATTTAAATTCTTGAAGTTTAACTGGTATTTATCGTACTTGCTGCTACCATTAATCCCTTTCAAAGAGTTGTGCTAATGAATTCCATCTTTAAAATTCTGTACCCGGATTCTTAGTTTCTCACTTTACTGTGAATATGTTAGTCCAAATCAGAGTATTCCTTAAAAAATATTATTACAGGATTTGACATAGCATCTATAAGTGAGAACTGTATAGCGGGCATATGTGTGAACTGTACTAAATTTGTAACTGAAGAAATCCCAAGGACAATGGGATATTTACTGACTCGTGGAATGTAAAATTATAGTCTTTTCACACAGCAAAGGCTTCATCTTAACCTACCCAGTTGAAGAGTCATGATTTTTGTAGTCAATCTAGAAAATGCTGGAAATGTTCTTAGTAGTTCTGTTTTCTTATCAAACCTATTTCAGTTCTTCCTATGCTCTTTCTCTACTGCTCCTTTGAGTTACTGTTACAAAAAGGTGCTGCTAAATGTAGGATGTCCTGGTCATGTTGTACTTTGGGACAATGCCACATTTTTAACATGGTCTGCTCTGCATTCACTGTCAGCTACACGGAACTGTTCAACAAACCTGGTTTAAAGTCATTCATATAAAACAAATAAAGAGCTGGTTTCTGCACTGTTTATTATTAGTAGTATTAATTGCCATTTTAGGAATGATTCTTACAGTTGAGAATATGTGAAATGTTCAACACCACTTCACCTCTTTCTTAGGGGCAATACCATTCACTGATGTTACTTAGCATCATAAAATGATAGCTTGTGCTTGGTAAGGGTCTTTTAAATATGAGCACAGCAGAGTAATCCTCCCACCTAATTCTACATGTGCAGCAACTGATTCCGATTTTGAATTTTATTCTTCTTTTTAAAATGAAGATTCATCTTGATGACATTGAATTCCTCACCCTGTCCCTTTGCTCAGCAATGTACTGCTGCTAGTCTCGGGGACTCAAATCTTATTAATACGTCAGAGTCACACTGTTTGAGAAAACAAGTAACTAACTAGGTGGTTCTGGGTCAGTTTAATTTTGGTTTGATTATATTTTTAACTATTTGTACTTAACTAAAATGTGATACAGGGTTTTGAAGTAAAATGTACTTACTGTTGAATTAATGCTTTTTTGGTTTCACAGAAATATCCAAACACTAAATATGTGAAAAGATAATATATTAATTTTCCTTCACAGTACTCTGATTTTTTCCCTTTTTATTGCATTTTTTTTTCTTAAATTTCTGTCTCAAGATTGCATGTGTTTGTTTTATTTTCCAATTTGCTCTTTTTTGAAGGAAAGAAACTCACTGAAAATATATGTTAAAGGAAAAGTTTTTAACAATATTCTTTATTTGTCCTTACTGTTTTCAATATGCAAATAGTTTTCTTCCGTTTTGCCTGCATTGATTGTATTTTGAATTTGTGGTATTAATGAAAAATTTACGTTTGCTGCTAGGTTCATTCTCTACCATTTTCATCCTAGTTTAGCATATAAGGCTTTGTAGAGAGCATGAGAAGAAATGGATGTTTTGAAAACACATTTAAAGTTTGGGAAAATATGTTGAGCCCTAGAAACAAAAAGTGCCACAGGTCAACAGTGTTTCTCTTTAGTCAAATGACATCTCCTGGATATAAGGCAGGACAAGGGACATGAAGTCGGTCGCCTGTTTGAAGCTTCTGGAGCTGGCACTATTTTTTCCCTCACTCAGTAAGCATGCTTGCGATCTGCTCTGAAGCAGTGACAGAAGACAGGTCTCTCTCTGCCTTCAGGGTTCTCCCAATCTGGGGTCGGGGTTAGGGCGTGCCTGGTACACTAGAGTGGGTATGTGAGCGCCTTGACAGCAGTGGATCTGAGCACCAGGGGTCCGCAGAGGGAGGGAAATGCCTAACCAACCTCAGGGAAGGACGTTCAAGAAAGGCTTCCTCAAAGAGGCGGCCTTCTGATCTGACTTGACCCAACAGTACTTGCAATCTTGAGGAATACAATGAATAGTTACGAGAAATTCCAAACGGAAATCAATGAGGAAAGAACAGGAAGAAACTATTAGGCAACTGTTTCCAGTTATCCATTTTATACACCCAAGGCTGAGGAATTTTTGGGTAATTTGAATGAAAGTTAACAAAATAGAGATATTTAACACTACACAAGACAGCCTTTAAACTGTGGCTGGGCATTGGATATTTTAATGTATCTTACCTGAAAAGCAGGTAGGATGAAGCAAGCCTGAAGTTATAATTAATTAAAACAAAAAGCAGCCACTTACATTGGCCACTATAGGGAGATGTATGCTCACCTTTGCGGTTTGGGTGATGTTCTCGTTTTTGTCTGATTTCAGATTTGATTACGAAGAAGTGGATTTCTTTTGTCTTGACCCATCATCACGACAGTTGCTTTGTCTGATGTTGGTGTTCTATGAAGTTGTTTGTGTCCAACAGGAGAACACCAAGGCCGAGCTGTGAGTGCCCGGCCAGTTCCCAGCTGTCAGAAGCTGGTTTTCTCTTTCTCACCAGTCACATCTCTAATAACTTGTATAATACATATTCCAATAGACGACAAAGGGTACCGAAATTGTGGAATACACTCATATTTTTAATCTACCAAGTGAAGAAAATACTCATTTTAGCTTTTAGTTTAAAATCATGAAAAAAAAAATAAACATTATGAAGGCAGACTCTCATTTAAAAGAGGTCCAGACTTATTTCAAAGAGGGTGATTTACCAAATAGTAAGCAGAAAAAGTCAAGTAAACACTCAGCTCAGTTACTGGCATGTGGTAAATGTGATACTTCCCATGCCCTGAATCCTTAAGGAACTACTACTTAGGAACTCAGGAGCAGAAAACGTTTTTTATAACCAAATTAAATACTGCTAATTTTATTCTTTGTTAGATTCACCAATTTACTTATGTTTTGGCAAGGAAGATTGTCAATGAGCTAACATCTGTGCCAATCTTCCTTCATTTTTATGTAGGATGCTGCCACAGCATGGCTTGACGAGTGGTGTATAGGTCCATGCCCAGGATCCAAACCCACGAAGCCAACCACTCTGCCACTGTGCCAGCCCCCTGATTCACTGATTTTAACATTAAAAATGACTTGCATTCTTTACAAATTAAAACACAAAAGCCCCAAGTGAAAATATGTTCCAAACATCTACAAGCATCTCCTTTTCTTTATACTCTGCTAAATCCATAAAGAAAAAGTAATTACTTAAAAAAAACAAAATATAATCTCATACCACCCTGACTACTTCCATGATGGAGTGGAGCCTCTTGATCAAGTCTCTCGATCCTGGTGAAACAGCTGGCAGCCTTTTCTGTTTCCTTAGCAACAATGCCATCAGTCACTTGGCCTGACAACAGTTTGGTTTTAAAAAAAAACACCACACAGCAAATGTTCAGAATTTCCTTTCTAAGGATCTTTCTGTTAGGTGCTTTTGCATTTTACAAATTTTGCAATAAAAAAACCTATACAATCGTTATTTGCCAGCCGAACCATGTCTTCTATTCTGGCATCTCTGAGAGAATCCATGTCGGTGTCCTGTAAGGGCACAGCAGAGGGGTCAAATCGCTGCAGCTGTTTCAGTTGTTCCAATGACAGGCCAGCGCCCATCATCCCTTCTCCTCCAATCCGTGGCTCCTATTTGGAGAAAACAAATACATATGGACAAACATCCTATAATTAGTAAAGTGTGACTGTGTACAATTTAACTTAGAAGACAAACAGTTGTAACTGCCACAAATTCCCAAAATAGAAAAATGAGTCAATAGCTTTTATTTTTGAGGAATATACATGCTCTTTTTCCAGGTAGAAAAGCGAGAAAGCAGTTAACACTTGGTCACCTGATGAAGGAGTACCTATTATGGCCCAGATGCTTATCAAGTACCCCGACATTGCAAAAGGCCTGAGCTTCAGTTAGAAACACATGCATTCTAATCGCAGCTTTGCCACATGTTAGCTGTGTGACAACCTCAAGTAACTTTACCTACTCTGTCTCCCCATCGACAAAACAGATAAAATACTCAGGCTTAAATAAATAAGGTGGTATCATGCCTGGCAATATAGTGGGCACTCAATAAGCGGAACATTATTGTCAATAACAGCAAGAGATTAAAACTCACCTTTATTTTATCAGACTCCTCAAAACTGATAGAGTTCCTTAGGCATCTAAAGATGCCTCTGTCTGACCCATACCAATTGGATGATTAAAGTTCTTTTCTTGTTGTTTTTAAATGTACTAGAATATTAGAAACAAGGCTGCATCAATTCATTTAGAGGAACACAGAATCATAAGGACTTCAGTAAATACTTGCGAGCCACTACTGCAAAAGATCCATGATCCTAACTTGTCATCATTTCACAGACAAATGTTCATGTATTACTGAAGATATATCTTCTTAGGTCTATGTCTGAAAACCTATAATTTATTAACCCACGAGGAACAAACATTCCATCTCTTTTAGGTCTATATTGAGTGTATGTGTGTACACACACACATATAAAATTCAAGTGAGCTCTGAAGTCTCCTTTCATCTACAATGTAATTATCTTAACTGCTGAGCCTAGAAACCACCTCCAGATTGCTTTTTATTTACATATTCCAATTACCTACTAGAATTCTGTACAGGAAGGTACCGAAGTTAGATGTTCAATGTATCTGAATGAAAGTGAGCACTATTACAGATTTAGGCTTCATCTCAAACATCATGGGCTAAAACTGCAGTCATAAATATGGTTTTAATAAAAACCATAAGAGAAAGACAGCACTAGGTAAGGACAACAAAGCTTTTTAAATGTTACAGATTTTATATAAGAGATCATAAAGAAGCAATAATCCTGAACCATTTTGTTTCCTATGGCTAGTCTTTTGATATCCCAGTTATTAAAGCCTGTTTGGGCTTTAATGTGACTTGAGAAAAAAGGCTCAACATTTCCCATATCAGAAAAATACAGGACTCAGGGCCGGGGGGAAAACCATTTTGGAAACAAAGTTCTGAGCAACAAGAACAAGAGCCACAAGTGAAAGAAATGTAACAAACATACACGTGAGCTCTGTGGCATTTTAGCACAGTGGCAAGGAATGATCACATGGAAAAACTGTCAGGACATGAAAATTCTCTATGGGCAGTCACAAATGGGTCTAATTAGAAAAACATTCTTGTTCATTACAGTATTTGTTTCACAAGTTTTACTTGATATATTTCTTCGTATAACACCCGGTTTAAGTTTCTGTGATGTATCAGATTCCACAGAGAAAACTGAAAGTATTCTTACCTGTGGCTGAAGCTGAAGGTCAGGAAATGTCGCGAGGGCCCAGGCAACCTGCTCTTCGTTCTCCGCCAGTGTGATGGTGCACGTACTATAAACCAGCACGCCCCCCGGCTTCAGCAGCTTCACGGCCTAAAAAATAATGTGATCAGTCGGCATCTCACAAGACCAAATAAACATTTTGAGGGATTTTATATCTAGGATACCTTTCAAGTGTTTGGGATAAATAAAATGATGTTCAGTATGACCAGAATTCTTTATCTAATTAGAGTTCCAGCCTGGACGCATTTCATTATCTTGAAGCTGTTAAAGTTCATTTGAACAAAGACTTTTCCAAATACGATCATTCAGTTTCCCAGCTTTAGATACCAGTTTTTTTCTTTTTTTAAAGATTTTATTTTTTCCCTTTTCTCCCCAAAGCCCCCCGGTACATAGTTGTATCTTCTTCATTGTGGGTCCTTCTAGTTGTGGCATGTGGGACGCTGCCTCAGCGTGGTTTGATGAGCAGTGCCATGTCCGCGCCCAGGATTCGAACTATCGAAACACTGGGCCGCCTGCAGCGGAGCGCGCGAACTTAACCACTCGGCCACGGGGCCAGCCCCTAGATACCCTAGATACTCTACATTTTTAGGCCAGACTCTTTTCTGAATTCCATACTCATATATTCATTTGCCTTCTCAATGTTTCTACTACCAAATTTGACACATCTCAAACTGAACTCCTCCTGTCTTCCCTCTGAAACCTACTGGAGACGTATGTCCGTCCTTCCAGATGCTCAGGCCGCAAACCTTAGATTATCCTTTATGCCTCTCTCAAATCCCCATCCATCAGCAAATCCTCTTGACTTTACCTTCAAATTATATCTGGTATTCAGAACTTCTCATCACTTGCACTGCTACCTTCTGGTCAAAGCCTCTTTATCCTTTGCCCGAATTATTGGAACCACCTCCTACTTAGTCTACCTGCTTTCCCCGCTGCCCTCCCACCATGTCATCTCAGTATAGCAGCCAGAGCTGTACTTTTAAAACATGTCAGTTTGCAGCTCAAAACCCTTCCAGCACCCTCCCTAATCACTTGGCATCAAAGCCCAAGTCCTTCCAGTGGCTTTCAAGGCCCTACACAAAGCAGGCTCTGGGCTGCCTTTCTGACCTCACCTCGCACACTGTGCTCACTCTGCTTGAGCAACGCTGGCCTCTGCTGTTCCAGAACATGCATGGCACACTCCCACCCTCGGGATCTTTGCAGCAGCTTGGAAAGTTCTTATAATTCTCTGCATTGCTTGCTCCTTCAGTTTTCTTATCTTTGCTTCTATGTCACTTTCCAGCAATGCCCTCCGTGAGCACCCGATGTAAAACTTGCAACCTTTCCAATCCAGCGCTCCTGTCCCCCCTTCCTTTCTTTACGTAGCTCCACAGGATTAGTGCCTTGAATATACTAAATAACTTCACCCATTTGTTTACTTTCCTCTCAATAAGAAGACAAATCTCATGAATAGGGCAGGAGTTGGTTACTTTTTCACTACTGTGTTGTCAGCACCCAGAATAGTGTATTACATACAGTAGGTGCTGAATGACTATCTGTCCAGTAAATAAATGAACCAAGAAATAAGGTGCTATACAAAAACGAATTTGTCCCAAGTAACTAAAGTTTATCTTCGCAAACTCCCACTTTATTTTTAAAATTTTAACGAAAATCTTAAAAAAGATACATATATATATATATATATATATAGTATATACTTGTGCTTTTTTAACCAGAGTAAGCTGATCAAAATTTAAACTTTGTTACTGTGAGCCAGCTATTGTTTTCAGCACTTCGTGCAGATTTTCTCAATAAATCCTTTTAACAACCATGAGGTGTGGTTATTATCTCCCCTGAGGTAGCCCTATTAGGTAGAGTTACTCTCCCCATTTCTCAGATATAGAAACCAGTGTATCGAAAATCACGTATCTGGAGGACCCATGGCTCAAATCAAGATGTGTCTGATTCTGAAGTCCACATTCTCCATCAGTTTCTCTCTCTGCGAATGGCATGCCTGCTATATTCTCAACGCTCTTTCACATACTGTCAACTGTTCCTTTGCATTGAGATCAATGCATCTACTCCTAAAAGGCTTCTGAATTTTCTTTTTGCTATGACCTTAAAGAACAAAAAGCCAAGTGTCTTAAAACAGTGTCCTTATTTTACCCTCAAGTCCGAGTGGGTTTCAGCTAAAGGTAAGGCTGCTTTTTCGCTGCTTGCTGTTTTAACTTCCAGGATGTATCTTTGAAGACTGGGTCAAAGAAGAAAAAGTTAAATAACCCACTACCAGTGCCACCTTTGTGTACAAAAGGAGACACCAGAGAGACGAACAGAAATGTCCTCAAAGGCAACTTCAGAGACTGAATAACTACAGTGTATCCATTATCGCTGCAGCCTATGTATTTATAAGTGGAAGTCTGAGAGGACGCAATGAAGTAATCTTTGATCAAATGCTATCTATATTCTGTGAAATCCATTGAACTATTTTTGCAAGACTGAGAGAAATCCTCAAGTATTCTATCTGGACTTCTTCTGAAACTACTGGAGCCCAGTTAAATTTGCAAAGTTTTTATGTTTCTTTTATATCCTACACTGGACACTGTCATTTCTCATTTTTATTAATGTGTTTACTTCTATTAGACTTCCCACTTTTTTTTAATTAAATTTTATTTTTTATTTTTCCTCCCAAAGTCCCCTGGTACATAGTTGCGTATTTTTAGTTTTGGGTCCTTCTAGTTGTGGCATGTGGGATGCTGCCTCAGCATGGCTTGATGAGCGGTGCCACGTCCACACCCAGGATTCGAACCAGTGAAACCCAGGGCCTCCAAAGCAGAGCTCGCGAACTTAACCACTCGGCCACCGGGCTGGCCCCCAAGACTTCCCACTTTTAATCTGCAATATAACATGATCCAGGAACTCTATTAAAAAACACTAATTTACTTTCTACCCAATTCTTTACATCAAGTAGTAACTATATGTTAACAACTCAGTGACTTTTTAAAGATAAAGCAGAATGTCTGAAATTCTTTAAATGTCTCAGTGAAGAAGTTTTACTATTGCGTGTAATAAAAGAGTGAGTCAACATAAAGAAAAGCTTCTTATATTTAAAACTAGGTCGTCTCTGTCTTTTTTGCGTGGTAACATATACATAACATAAATTTACCACTATGCCCACTTTTAAGTGTACAATTCAGTGGCATTAAATACATTCACGTTGTTGTGCAGCCATCACCATTCTCCCTCTCCAGAGCTTTTTCATCATTGCAAACTGCAGCTCTGCACCCATTAAACAATAACTCCCCATTCTGTCTCTCCAGTCCCTGGTACCCTCTATCCTACTTTCTGCCTCTAGGAATCTGCCTATCTAGTTATCGCATATAAATGGAATCATACAATATTTGTCTTTTTGTGTCTGGCTTATATCACTTAGCATAATGTTTTCAAGGTTCATCCATGCTGTAGCATGTGTCAGAACTTCATGTGTAAGGCTGAATAATATTCCATTGTATGTATATACCACATTTTGCTTATCCATTCATCTGCTGATGGAAACTTGGGTCGTTTCCGCATTCTGGTTATTGTGAATATTACTGCTGTGAACACTGCTCCACTCTTTTAAACATCTAACTAGCGAAGGTCAACTTTCTTTCACAGCAAAGTAGCATCACATACCACAGTAAAGAGTTTTCGCTGTAAAGGTTGGTATGATGTCACTTCCTTTAAAGTCCAAGAACAAGCCATGTTTGGTCTCTGTCCCATTCCACTGCAGGGTGCGTCAAGGAGAATTCGGTCAAAAGATTCTGGTAAGAATGGAGGTTCTCCTATAAAGAGAATTATAAACATATTGGCTATCTGCCCTATTGGTCTAGAACAGAAAACTCCTGAGATAAAAGCAATGATCAAAAATTTAAAATCATAATCTGGAAGAGAAAGTAAAGAAAAACAATTTCTCCCTTCAATCAAGTAGCTGGTGAAACTAATTCTGATTTATACTTCATATACATCTGACTTTGTACAGGGTTAAAAATGTGATTATGATAGTTGAGGGTTATTCTGTTGATGTGGTGCAAACAAGGCCTAATCAAACGAGACCTTGTATCCTCAGTGTCAGAAGCTACAGTTCATCAGAGCCGGGACCTGGAATTGATTCTGGTCATTCTGAGAGCTGACACTTCTCTTCGTAATCCCTACTGAAGACAGCCCCAGAAAAAGAGGGCACCTATTAGGTTCTAGTCACATCTACTGGTTCTGTGGTTCCTCAGTCTCTTTGTTCCTGTGGCCATCAGCAAGGCTGTGCTCTAGGATGAGTCAATAATCCCCCTGGATCCAATCTTTCACAGGTTTCCCTTTGCATTCACTTGAATAATTTTCTCCATTCTAACTTCTAATCTATTTAGTGTTATGAAACCAAACGGTCTGCTAATATATTTATATATAGTATATATATTTATGTATTTATGCTATGTAACTGCCAGCACATATTGCTGCTGACTGCTTTGATACAAAGCTGGTTGATTTCCAGGATATAACTCAGGAAGAGAGGGATGGAAGAGATGCACAGGGCAAGCAAGGCACAGGGAAAGGGCGCAGAGCTTCCATGTCCTCTCCAGGCACACCCCTCTCCCCAAATCCCCACGTGTTCCCAGCCCAGATGCTCTCTGTACCCCATCCTTTTGGGTTTTTATGGAGGTTTCATTACATAGCATTGATTGATTAAATCATTGGCCATTGGTGATGGATTTGACCTCCAGCCCTATCCCTTCCCCTGAGGTCTGGGGGTGGGACTGAAAGTTCCAACCCTCTAATCACACAGTTGGTTCCTCTAGTGACCACTTCCCATTCTGAGGTCCTATCCAAAGGTCAACTGATAAACATAACAAAAGCCACCTTTACAGTTCCCATCATTTTGGAAATTCCAAGGGCTTTAGGAGCTCTATGCCAGAAACCAAAGACCAAATACATATTTCTTATAAATATATGTATCACAATCCCACTTCCAGGTCTTGCCCTTAAAAGGACTGGCAGTGCAGTCTCCTTGTTTCTTTTCTTTGCCCCTAGAAAGAACTGGAACAGCTGTCTTGGACCCAGAATGAAAATACCAGCATTGGATAACCACTTCTGTTAGGTGAGACAAAAATAAACAACAAAAACAAACAAACAAAAATCAGTTCTATCTTTTCTAAGCCACTGTATTTTGGGTCTCTCTGGCACAGTCCGTTAGCCTATACATTAATATAAATCTCCTGCAAAGTCCTGGCTAACTATTTAGGGTTGACAATCAATTGACCACGAAACAATGTTCTCATGTAATTAGGCAATTCAATGTGACCTATTCCCACTTCTGTAAGAAGACAAATAATAGTCCAGATATTGTTGCTCAGAACAATCCCTATTTTTCTAGGAAGCATTCCATGGGTTCCATTTGTTTGTCTGCTTTTTTAATCCTATGTGGCTTACTAGCTTTTAGGCAGATGTTATAAAATAATTTCTCACTTCCCACGAGTCTCAAAGATACAGTGATTTTCACATCACTACCGATACATTAGCCATCAAACCCATTGGGTCTACTGCCTGACATTCTAAGTTTAACACCCCAAATCAAACTACCAGAGAATGTGCTGAAACAAGCCTTGATGAATAAAGAGCTAAAGGTGATGGCCCAGGACCATCAGTTAATAAAGTGATATGGAGGAGTGAAAAATCACTGAATCTCCCAAGTTAGTTAATGGATTATCTCCTTATAGCACTGAAGACTGATCTCTAAGAGAGCTACCCCAATATGATTGTTCTTACCCTAATCCCAAAGTATTGTGAATGTGAATATGATCTCTTTAATTCAAAGACATGTAAAAACTGGTGACTTACCAACAATTTTAGTGAAGCAATAGTAATGGATTATAATTGAGCTGTCTACTGTCTACTAGTCATTTTTATGAACAACAGTTTATACATGTGCAAACTACAGGGTTAGAAAGAGTATCTTTCTCTATGGCAATCTAGATGATCTACAAGGGGTGGGGAATCAACACCATGCCCCCAGCTTTTTAAAGGTCCTCTTTAATCAAATAGCATCTTTAATCAATAAATGTTCTGGGAAAACTAATGCCAATTAGTTCATTAAAATATGTAAGTCTCTCGGGTATTTCATAAAATCAAATCTAAACAAAGAGACAGAGAGAGAGAAATAGAGATAAAGTCACTCAATAAATCCAACATCTTATTCCAAAACAAGATACATGGCAATCTGTCCTCGCTTCTTAGCTCCAGAGCTCCATTCCTCAAGAAAAACGAAGAAAAAATAGTTCAGGAATCATAAAATTGCAAAGTTCAGAAGTTTTCTGAGATGTAATAAGAAATTAAAATAAATATATTAAGAACAAAGAGTTTGACCAAGTCTTGGAGGTTTGACCTATATTATTAAAAACTTGATACTCAGACATGAGATGAAAAGGAAAAAGACACCTATTATGGAAAAACATCTTAGATTCATGCCAAAGTTTCAAGGCCCCATGAATATGCTGAGAATGATAACAAAATATATTTGTTTGTAAAAGCCAGTTATAAAAATCTTTAAAAGATAAAATTAAACTCACCTTCTGTGTTCTTAACCATATCGAGTTTAAGTGCCTTCGTTCCATCAAAGCAAAATGCCCTAATAGAATTCAACCCTAACAATAAAGCATTCTGCTTTATTTTTTCTACTTTGTTGGATATTTTATCCAGTGCTATTACTTCTCCCTAAAAAAAAAAAAAAGCCATAAAAGTGTAAATCCAAAGCAATCATGAAAATTATTAATAATGAGAAAAACACATTAAAAATTATGGTCTTCCCCACTTTCCTTCTACCCCTAGTTTTAAAGCTGAATTCATTAACCAAATATATATCAAATGTACATCAAATACTTCTTTCCTTTGAAAAAACACATTCTTGTCAGATAATTAATTTTCTCACAATGCCCTGCTACTTTTAATCAACAAAACTCAAAACCAAAAATACTGTTTGCAATCTTCTAAAGAAACTTAAAAATATCCATTGGAGGTACATATTCAAAATCACCAATTTGATGTGCCTTGCTCACTTCTGGAAGAGTATGAAGTAATGTTCTGAGACTTGTGCCTTCTAGTGCTTTGAGACACAGATCAATGTTACCTGTAAAATCAATCTTCATCTCAATATCTTCTGAGCCATACACCTAACAAAATTCAGGTGATACGCCAGTATATCCAACAAAATGTTCTGGACTGGTATAAAAAGTAGTTCAAAAATATTTTTATATGATAACACTTCAGTTAAGTTAAAGTCAATGAAGACAAGAGGCCACATTTTTACGAATGCATTGTGACATTCCTATGATATTTTAAAACATACTATGAAACGATATTGCAGGGATAGTGAAATTAACCCTTCCATATATTTTCTTGCTTTTGCTCCTTTTATATACACTGTCCTTGTATGATATATACATCAGTTACAGACTATAAAATACTAGAAATTTGCTGATAATGTTCCCAAATATGACACCAGGTTTAGTGGTAGACATGCTTCTAAGTAATACTTTCACAAACAGGAAAACCATTTCAAGTGAGTTGAATTGGAAAAGTAGGCAAATACAATCAGAATAAGGTTTAAATGTACTACAGTGAAGGAGTAACTCCACTGGCTGAAGGCTATCTTTCCAAAAACACAGAGAAGAGGCTACACTTACACAAAACTTGCTTGACTATCAAAAACAAATCACCACCAACAAACTGAAAACAGCAACAAAAACTAGAATTCATTCTGGCTCAGATACCTCTATTCAGGCTGTTCATTTCTACATTGCTGGTCCACTGGGGGAAATTGCCTAACTCCAACTGGAGTTGCTCACCCTTTGCCATTTTCCTTGCAGTACCCTGCCATTCCGACTCAGGCTCAGTCATGCAATTTCTTGGCCAATGGGATGAAAGTAAATGTGATACAAACAGAGACGTGAAAGACACTTGAACAGGAGGCCTTGCTCTGCTTTGCCCTCTGCCATTGCCAACACTCAGTGATAGCCTTCTGCTGAGCTAGCCCCCTGGTCCTAACAGGAGGAGAAGAGACACATAGACTGCAGGCAGGGCACCCTAGTGGTCTCAGCTGAGGTCACCTTAGATAAGCCAACACCAGCCAAAGCCAAGTGAAGGAGCCCACCCGAGATCATCAAAACCCCTAGCTAGCCCGCAGCTGATCAGGTGCACAAGCAAGCCTAGCAGGGACCAGCTGAATCCCAGACCCCTGAGCAGAATAAATGTTTAGTTGTATGCCACCAAGGTTTTGTGGTCATATTTACACAGCACTATAAAACCAACAGAAAAGGGATACAACTACACTATCCCGACTTTCTTTGGAAAGACTTCTTACTAGAGAGAATAATATATCTATGAATAAATAACTCTAAGCAAAACAATAAATATCAGACCGTAAGTTAAGGAAAGATTATTATCACTTCCTCAAAACAAACCTTTACATTTAAGCTTTCAGGTAAAGTGAAATAATAGTTTGCATTAAACACCACAACTCCATAAAATGAACCCTTCTATTTTGTGTTCTTCATTTTATGCACTGGTGGTATTTCATGCATTTTTACCTAAAGAGTTTTTACTGTTACCACCTTAAATTCTTTTTGGACAAGGAACAGTATAAGTAAACAGCCAAGTATATCTCCTCTAATGAACCAAGAGTATTAATTCCCCAAAATTTAAACAACAAATCTTTTCCTATTGGAGATCTTTCCTATTTCCTAGTTACTTAAGGCTACTCACTGAGGTTATACTAGAGCTACGCAAGAGTGTGTATATGTGTGTGGCGCATATAGAGAGTGCATATATATATATACACACACACAGAGTACATTATATGCTGCATATGTATTTATATAGTGTATACACACACACACATATATATATAGTGCAGAGATAGTAGGTTTAATTTATGTTTTATCCCCCTGCTTGTGACATTGTGAATGTTTCAGAAATTCTAATAGTGTTAAAGTGAAATACTAATGTGTAAGTAATGTGAATTTTCATTGGAAGTCTTTGAATAATTAAAATGACTTGCAGTAATGAAATTGAAAAGCCACAATTTCACCTTTTTTTTTTTTTTTTAAAGATTGGCACCTGAGCTAACAACTGTTGCCAATCTTTTTTTTTTTCCAGCTTTTTTACTCCCCAGATCCTCCCAGAATATAGTTGTATATTTTAGTTGTGGGTCCTTCTAGTTGTGGCATGTGGGACGCCGCCTCACCATGGCCTGATGAGCGGTGCCATGTCCGCATCCAGGATCCGAACCGGCGAAACCCTGGGCCGCCAAAGCGGAGAATGCGAACTTAACCACTCGGCCACGGGGCGGGCCCCTACAATTTCATCTTAACACTGTAAAAGTTCCTACTATTTTCTGTGCAAGATTGCTTGTAAATCACTTGACTGTCTTAAGAATCATCAAATATAGATAAATAACGGATCACCTGATAAAGTTCATCATCTGGCAATTTTGGGAGTGGGAGCACAGACAGTCTATCTTCCACCAAGTAAATTAGCTAGAGCAGAAGGGCTTTGCTAGCCTTCTGGAGGTGTATTTCTAGGCCAGAAACTCTTACATCTCAAGTATGTAATTTTTTCTTATTTATAAATTAGTATCATACAGAAAATTCCTGAGTTTCCTAAGCACATAGGAATTCCTACGACTGTATAAATCTGACAATTTAGAAAAAAACAAACCCACTGCTCCCACTTTTTTACTGTCCTTGCTATGCTCTTTACCCAGCTTAGAGTCCATGGCTCATCATAATCATTCCCTTAGATCCATGCTCAACTCCCATGCGTCTGTGTCCTGGATATATACATGACAAAAACGTAGCTGGGATTAAATCCAATCCTTCACCAACTTCATGTCTACGCCTTGCAGCTAAAAAGCACATCACTGTCCCAACTCACCTTACTTTAAATTCATGACCACCAGATTCACAGCCCTTGATGCAGACGTGTCCATAGCCCATTCTCATTCCCAGTTTCCTCTATTAATATCTTGTATCTTCTCAAAACTCTTACCACCTGCTTCCCCATCCCCATTCTCATCTGATAACCTTGCTTCCTATTTCACTAAGAAAACTGGAACAACCAGAAGAGAATTTCTCATCTCTTACCACATCTACTAGTCCACCAATATGTGCACCCATGTACTCAGTCTTTCCTATTTCCATAGATAAACTGTCTCATGCTACCATCTAAAGTCACCTGTGCATCAAATCTCAACCCAATTCACCTACTCAAAGATACTGTTCCAGCAATTTTCCCTTTTCCCTCTGGTGTCACCAATTTTCCCTTTCAACACATCTTTCTCATTAGCATACAAACATTGTTATTTCTCTCATCTTAAAAAAAGACCTCCCTGAGTTCACCTCCAACTACTGCCCCATTTCTCTGCTCTCCTGTACAAACAACCCCTGCCCCCCCAAAAAAGGAGTCTTCATTCATTTTCTTTGATTCCTCTTATTCTCAATCCAAGCAAGCATTTCCACTCACCAAAACTGCTCACAACAAGGTCACCAATCACCTGTGTAGGGGAGGAAGACATTTCCTCTACCTGCTCTGGGTCCTTCTGGCCAGAGAACGAATTAAATTCACATGAGACAGAATAACAGGAGAAAATTAAACAAAGCTTTATAACATGTATACATGGGAGAGGTTCAGGCAAGCTAAGTAACTCACCAAAATGACTGAAGCCACCACCTTAAATATTATCTTCAGCTAAAGACAAAGGAGGATGTTGGGGGTGGGGGGAGTCACTTACAGGAGGTTACCAGACAAGTACAGTAAACAAGAGTAAGATTATTATGCAGATTTAAGTCCTTGCCCTCCACCTTGTTTAAGAGTTTCTAGAGATAAGGTCATACCCCCTCCTTCCTGGTACAGAGAGGGAGACACCTTTACAGATGGAGATTCCCTTTACAAATGTAAATGTCTCTTAACAAATGGTAAGTAAATTCTACTTTTCAGAGTTTCTTTCCTGTCTGCAGTTTTTTTAAAAGTAACCAGCCCAAAATATTCCTCATGCCAAAGAAACATATCTTGGGGTGGCCAATTCCAGTCCCCCCACACCTACATGGTGCTGAATCCACTGGGCGTTCAGTCCTCATCTTATATGGCCCAGCAACGACATTTGACAGCGAATCTCACCAACACCTTTCAACTTCTTTCTTCACATGGCTTCCAGGGTATCGCACTCCTCAGGTCTTTCTCCCGCATCACTGGCCATTCCTTCTCACTTGTCCAACCTCTGAGTGTTGGCATCCTGTACCCAGGAGGCTCAATCTTCTGTCCTCTTCTACCTTCTATTGCCAATCACATCAGTTTATGGCTCGACATTGTCATCTGTAAGTTGATGACTTCCAAATTTATATTTCCAATCCAGACCTCTCTCCTGTCCTCTAGACTCAACTATCCAGTTGCCTGCTCAACATCATCTCTTTGATGTCTAATAGACACTTCACTTTAATATATCTAAAACAAAATTTCTGATTTTTCCATGCAATACTTGCTCCTCCCCATAGTCATCCACATCCAGCAACTCTATCTGTCCAGTTCCTTAAGCCAAAACCCTCAGTAGTCACCTTTGACTACTCTCTCTTTCACAACCCACATCCAATCTATTAACAACTCCTAAACAGCCCCACCTGGAAAACATTTCCAGAATCTGACCACTTTTTACCACCTCCACAACTTTTCCCTGAATTATTCTCTGCTTCTGCCCTTGCCCTCTTACAGCATGTTTTCAATGGAGTAGCCAGAATGATACTTTTAAATACTAAGTAGGCTTATGTCACTCTTCTGCTCAAAACCTCCAATGACTTGCCATCACTTGAGTAAAACTCAAGTCCTGTTGGTCCATGCACAACTGCTCTACCCAAATGTCCTCCCTGGCCCTCCCCTCCAGGTCCTACCTGTCTGATCTCACTTCCTCCCACTCGCCTCCTCACTTAGTCTACTTCAGCAAAACCACGGAGGTTCCTCAAACAAATCAGGTTCCCTCCAGCCTCAGAGCAGTCACACTTAGTGTTCCCTCTAGCTAGAACTTTCTTTCCACAGATCTCCATATTGCTCATCACCTTTAAGTCTTTCCCCAAAAACCACCTTCAGAGTGTGGATCTCCCTCCCCACCCTATTTAAAACTGCAAACTCCCTCTCCCGCTCCTCAGGATTTCCAATTCTCCTAACCCTCCTTCATTTTTCACCATAGCCCTTATCACAACCACATATGCCATATCTTTTATTCACCTGTTTATTATCTGTCTCCTCTTACTGGAATGTAAGCTCCATGAGGAAAGAAATTTTGGTCACTGCGGTTTATTGCTGTATCACCAGTACTTGGCACACAGTAAGTACTAATTAAATATTTGTTTAATCAATCAATCAACCAAAGTATGACTCCAGATAAAGGAAGCTACTGTGAAGATACCAGCATGGGTAAGTATTTTAGGAGCCATTTAGTTTTACGGAATTTGAAACAAACAGGAAAGATAGGGACAACTGGCCATATCCTTCTTGACTTGAAGAATCTCAGTTGAAGTTCCGAATGGTTGCGAGGCCACAGTGAGTTTTGAACACAGATAAAAATAGGCCATAAAGAAAGAACACACATTGGCAAACACGCACACATAGGAAAAAGCAGTAAAACCTGAGCTAAAGTTATCCAAGGACAGACTTACATTTTGTGACAATGAAGCAGGCTTTATAATTAAGCAAGATCATTAGGTTTTTATGAACCCCATGAAGAAAATACACACACACGTGTGTTCAATATGTGTGTGTGCATATATACGTATCACACATGTATGTGTATATATATCAACAATATATATTTTGACACTTCAATAGTATACTGTCAATTTTTAGTGGCAGAATCTATTTTACCAGTTTAAAAAGTGTCAAGTCTTATAATTACGAACATGAAAAGATGTCTTAAATGTTTCATTTAAACAATTTTATGAGGGAAAAATTCTATTTTAAAAATGTATTAGCAAATTTGGGATTCAAGAAGGTCTTGAGATAGTCTTCACAAATGACAAGTGTCTACTAAATTTAATATGTGATGATTTACATCACTAATGGTCTTCACTTTGGCTGAATCTGAAATAAATCAGGTTATGAATATCAGTACAATGTTTCATAAGTTCACGTAGTTCCACCTTCATCACTGAAAGATGTAATATGGTGAGAATAGTTCTGCAGTGAAGACAGTCTCACCTGATCATGCATTAGTGCTGCAATGTGTGTTGTTTTGCCTCCAGGTGCTGCACACAAATCTAGAATCTTCTCTCCAGGCTGAGGATCCAGAACATGAGTTGCTAGAGCAGAAGGCAAATTCTATAAGGAAAAGAAATAAATTATCAATAATTCTAAATCATTTTAAATTTCAGAATCAGAGAACATAAAGAAACCTCAGGAGGTAATCCAGTACAGCATCCTGTGCCAAGAATACATTTTTTGTAAACATACTGGTGTCAGGAAATTCGAAATTTCCTAGAGAATCCTATGATCTCACAGGACATTCACAGACACATACAACACATTTCCCCAAGCAATCCAGCAAAAAAAAAGCATAAGGTCCTTTCTCAACTCAATGGTTCTCAATATTTGGGAGGCCAGAGACCTCTTAGAATTATGAGAAAGCTCTAGATCTTTTTCCCAGAAAATGTACACAATTTTGCAATTTCAGGTGCTTCACCATCTAACTCCCATATAAGAATCCTAGTTTTATGCTGCTAATGCTGCTCAAAGGCATGTTTGCGTTCCTATCTCCCCACCAATACCACATTTCAGTAGGAGAAAAGTAAAATGTAAAAAAGTCTTAGCTATTTCTGATTGGCACCTAGAAATATACTACCACATTTTATAACCCAAATAGAGCCTCCATTTACAGCAGTAAGTTATATTACATCATTAACTGCTTATTAGTATTAATTATATAAGGACTGCTACAACAGGATGAGTCAGCCTTAAATAAGATAGAACAGTATCACAAACTAGTTCATTTTTAAAATTACTTGGCAAGAAAAACAATAGATGCTAACAAGCATAGGGCTATTTATTTTTAAAGTTTAAAGGTTTCAATTCATTCTCACACCAAAACACTGACACTTACTAGTATGTCCTCGAGAACTGTGAGAAGGTTATAACACTCTCAAGTGACTCCAAGATCACTACTTCAGACAGAAAATCACTGGTGAGAAAGGAGACACCAACCCCCTCTCTGTGCATATATGAAGCGTTAAAATCAACGCAAATAATTTAGGCACCTGAAGAGCAGTCCCTCCACACTAAACACTAAAAACAGCTTGACTTGTTACAGATAGTTTCTCTCAATGGTCTAATTTATTTCAGAAATATTTAAAAACTGAACTCCAATATGAAAACACTAAAACATGTATGTGGCTACCGGCGACTTGGTGATTCTTATCCAGAGACAGTTGATTGTGCTTCACTCCTAATAACGTAGCATTATGTATTGGTCAAAGATGACAGAAATTTTCCAATCAAACGTAAGTAATACACTAAGAACCTTCTGGTTACACACTAAGTTAAACTATGAAATGGTACAAGTGAAGAGGCTTCATTAACCATTTAAATGACGACAAAGTTTTCTTAAAACAATTTAGTCTACTATCTTTCTCTACAGTATTTCTCAATCCAGGCTACACAGAAGAATCACCTAGTGAGTTTTTAAAAATGTCCAGTCCTCTTACATTTAAACTAATTATTCATAGATTTGTACTTATTGCCATTTGGTTAATTGTTTTCTGGCTATTTTATACCTCTCCTCTGTTCCTTTCTTCTTCTCTTGCTCTCTTCCTTTGTGGTTTTGATGATTTTCTTTAGTGCTATGTTTTATCTTTTGTGTGTTTACTACAGGTTTTTGCTTTGTGTTTACCATAAGGCTTACACAGAACAACTTATAACAGTCTATTTTAAGTTGACAACAACTTAAGTTGTTGTCATATTCTAAAGCTCAATATTTTTATACTCGCCCCACCTCCTCCATTTTATGTTTCTGGTGCCACATTTTACATCTTTTGTATTCCTTACCCAATTATTGTAGTTATAGTTATTTTTACATTTGTCCTTTAATCTGCATACTAGCTTTATAAGTGATTGATCCACTATCTTTATTAAATATTTACTTTTCCAGTGAGATTTATACTTTCATACGTTTCCCTGTTACTGGTTAGTGCCCTTTCTTTTCTACTTAAGGAAATCCTTTCAACATTTCTTGTAAGGTTGGTCTAATGGTGATGAACTCCTTTAGGCTTTTGCTTGTCTAGAAAGATCTTTATATCTCCTTCAATTCTAAATGATAACTTTGCCAGGCAGAGTATCTTTGGTTGAAGGTTTTTGGTTCTTTTCTTTTTTCCCCCAGCAGTTTGAATATACTGGCCTGCCAAGTGTCTGTTGACAAGTCTAGTGATAGTCTTAGGGGATTCCCTTGTACATAACAAGCTGTTTTCCTCTTGCTGCTTTTAAGATTCTCTCCTTGTCTTTAACTTTTGGCATTTTACTTATAAAGTGTCTTGGAGTGGGTCCTTCTGGATTCATCTTATATGGAGCTCTCTGGGATTCCTGGAGCTGGATGTCTGCTTCTTTCCTTAGGTTAGGGAAGTTTTCACCACTTTTCCTTCAAATAAGACATGTACCCTTTGTCTCTGTCTTCTCCTTTTGGGAGCCCAATAACATGAATGTTAGTCCATTTGATGTAGGCCCATAAGTCCCTTAAGCTATTTTTACTTCTATTCATTCTTTTTTCTATTTGTTGCTCTGACTGGACGAGTTCCACTGCCTTGTCTTCAAGTTCATTGATACTTATTTCTGTTTCATCTACTCTGATGTTGAAGCCTTCTAGTGTATTTTTCAGTTCAATTACTGTATTTTTCAGTTCTGTGAGTCCTATTTGGTACTTTCTTATATCTTTCCATCCCTTTGTTGAAGTTGTCACTGTGTTCATCCATTCTTCTCCCCAATTTGGTAAGCATCTTTATGACCATTACTCTGAACTCTTTACCAGCTAAATTACTTACCTCTGTATCATTAAAGATTTTTTCTGAAGTTTTATCTTGTTTTTTCATTTGGGTATTTTGCTTGATTCTCTGTGTTGGTTTCTATGCAGTAGAGCAAACAACCACTTCTTCCAGTCATGAAGGAATGGCCTCGTGTAGGAGATGAACCATGTCATTCAACCATGCCCCGGCTCTTTGTCATCTCTCAAACCTTTGTGCTTATCCAAACAGCCTATTATATTTTTAATAGCTCCCAGTAGTTAAAGGTCCCAACTCTCAAGGGATATCAGTGTCCCAAAGGGGAGAATCTCCGTAAGCACCTAGATACCAGGGTGACTGAAATCCAGACGATCAGGCAGCAGCTTTTAAAAGTATGAAAAGATTCACAATCCTGTGGGACCATAAGCATAAGCATCACTGGTCACCAGAGCCAGGCGATCAGGAGGTGTCCCCTGAGAGGCAGTTGCAAAAACTGGGGGGCTGCAGTAAAATGGGATACAGCAAAAGCAGTTCTAAGAGGGAAGTTCACAGCAATAAATGCAGAATAAAATGATAAAGAAAACACCATTTGTCATTAAAACAACTCAGTCTGGTCAAGGAGACAGACATGCAAGTTGGGAAGCATATGAATGTAAGAGCCAAGCATGCAAGTTTCCATTCTCCTGGTTCCAAATAGGTTTAATGCTATGATGAATGCCATTTCAAGTCTCACACATGTAGCATGGTTAAATGTAAGGACTGGAAATTTTATCAAATTACTGTTTATGGAAAACATTAAATTATTGGCACATGATAAAAAAGAACTACCTTTTTCCTCACAAAATGTCATTAAAATATTTATTTTAACATCTTAACAATTCATTCTTATTAGTATAATTACCTCCAAGATAGCATTATCCTGCTGCCACTGGTCTTTGTTAAAATGCCCTTAATCTACTTCCTATGGAGCACAAGTTGGCAGAAGCCTAAACTGGAGCAGAAATTACAATGTAGTAGAATTGGAATTACAGGTCAAAGTCCAACCTCTACCACAAATAGCCATGTGGTTTGGGATCTGCCATCTAATTTTCTTCATATGCAAAATGGGAATCACAAAACCTAATTTACCTACTGAAAGCATTTCACATTCTGACTCAGAAGGGATCTTGAAATTTTCAGTTTACAATTGAGGTAAGGAAGAACTGGCTAGGTAGAGAGATGTATGTAGTGAATGATGAAATGTCTGTAAAGATGTCTTGAGTTGTAAGTCCCTATACAAATATGCACCAACTATCCAACATAACACCACCACACAGTTTTCTTCTTAACTGCTTTTAGAATAAGTACACATAAAGTAACAAATATGTCCCACTACAAAAACATTAAACTCCAGTATCTCCCTGTTTAACTACAGTCATCTCTCTGTTTGGCTCCTTCACAACCATTATTCCTACTCCATCTGCTCTTTGATCTCCACTGCACCTTAGAGTTTTACTTTCCTTTATTTGCTTTTGGTGGAAGATACCTTGCTGGTCTCACTTCTTCTATCTTCTTAAACCCAAGATTGACAAGCTGATGAAACATTTTTGAATAAGAAGTCTCAATATTTGGACACTCTACCTGCCTACCTGGGTTCCATGATATAAGCCACCTCCTTAACTTAATGTCAACACAGAGTGGGGAAAATAGAAGAGCTTTAGTGACCTCAGTTTAAATGAGGTCTGGTTTAAAGTTGTGTCTGATACAGCGACATGTCCTTAATAGCCTTGGTTTCCTGTTTTCAGTTCAATTTTTTAGAAAACAAGTGGTCTTTAAGAAACCTCCCAGAAAGTTTTAGTTCCCAAACTCTGGGTGCTTCTGAGTATTCTGTATAGCTTTGTTAAAAATACAGCTACCTAAGCCCACCTTTCTGCATAATTTCAGGTTTTTAGGTTAGGGGTGAGCCTTGCCATTTGTATTTTTGACAAGCCCCACCCCCAGAAGCTGAATCTGATGGGAAACAAAGTTTGAGCATCACTGCCACAGAATACATTCTCTCTTCACATGGAGATTCCCATTGCTGAGCATGAGCAGACGTTCCAGCAGTGCAGCAGAATCTGCATTGCTGTTTGTGGTATCAGTGGTTCTTAATCGTGAACATGCCTGAGAGTCAACTATAGTGCTTTTAAAGGTCATCAGTAAAAAGTATTTATGCTATGGCTCCACTCACTGACAATTCAGTGTAGTACTTTTCAGGTGTGGCCAAGTACCCTTATTTTTTCAAAAGCGTCACAGGTGATTCTATTTGGTACACAATGGCATGACACATCTGCAACGGAAATAAGTGCATGCTTTGGA